TCATTAATTTTTTCATTTGGCCAATTTCAGTATCTGTCTATATTTCTGAGATGAGGTATTATGCACACTATTTACATTATTATAACTGACATCCATTAAACATGGCACATGGAACTAGAACAGTCTACCTCAGTGAGCAAAATAAAGGGTTCAGTTCAAAATTCCAACCACCTGAAGAAGGCCGGAGCATACAACAGCCGAAACGTAATAAATATAGCGATAAAGATGAGTCTGGATAATGTAAATAGTGGCCAATTTCAGTTATAAATCATTTGATTTCAGTTTTCATTTTTAATTTTTTTTTACCAATCTTTGAACATGTTGGAAATCTGAGTCAGATAAAAGAGATTTCCATTGAGGAAAACAAGTGATAACCCAAATATGATAGGCAGGACTGGATTTAGGCCCTGGGCTAATAGAATTAGGGTTTGGGGCTTCATTAGATATGTTTGCCTCTCCCCTGTGTCTATATAAAAAAAAAGATATATATATATTTTTACATTATGCTTTTTGTGTGTAAAAAATTAAACACTTCAACTAAAATTTTTAATGGTTTGGGAACTCAATTTATTTCATTACCAACTTCATGGTAATTTTTATCCAAACTTTACATCCTACAGAAATGTATCTAGAATGAATGGCCTGTATTATATTGAAATTCTAGGATCCAAATTCACCAGGAAAGCATCTGGAAAATTGATGGAGAATGAAAATTCTGACTTGTGATCCTAGATCACCACAGCTGAAAAAAATTGGAGTACTTCTAGGCTTGCGACTCCTAGCCCATACTAGCCCATATGTAAATCTGGTATGATATATATATATATATATATATATAAAACAAAGATTGTTTTTAAAAAAATTCTGGATGCCTATAGAATTTCTGGAAATTTGTTTCAGTTGATATGGAATTACGCATATATATTTTTGTAGTGAGTGCATATATACACAGGGCAAGATTTAGGCCTTAAGAGGCCACTGGGACTAATAGAATTTGGAGGCCATTTCATGAGGTATGTTTTATCATCCACCTCCACTCATATTTATAAAAAAAAGAGAAATTTTTTTAGATTATGCTCTTTGGGTGTAAAACATGAAATACTTCAACTAAAATTTATAATCATTTTCAAACTCATCCAATTTATTTCATTACCAATTTCATGATATTTATTATCTGTACTTTACATCCTACAGAAATGTATCGAGACTGAAGGATGTGTATTCCACCAAAATTCTTGTATTCAAAATTCACTAGCAAAGCATTCTATAAAGCAAAAATGATGGAGAAGGAAAATTCTGATTTGCTAGAATCTTATTTTTTTGAGTTTTATCCCTCCAGGCTTGGGGCCCATATTATCTGCAACCACTATTTACCCACATGTAAATCCAGCATGGATGATAGTGCTAAAGAATATGCTGCATTTGGAGGAACTTTGCCACCCAAACTTCATAACTCTTTCCAGCATTTCATTTAAAACATGAAAAATATTTGATGTTGTGCAGCAAATGTCAACTTCCTGGCCTAGAAAAATGTATTTTTCTCTTCTAATATATTGTCATGTCCCTAAAAACCAATAAATTAAAATTAATTAAATTGTCAAAAATAATTATAATAAAATAATTATAGCAATTATAATTATCATTAATTTGCTCTTTCTAAACTAATAAGAGTTGACCCCACTTTTTGCAGCTTCACACACAAACACATGACATTCTCATTATCAGACAGGCAGTCACTACAGACAGGCCATCAACATGTGTGTCAATGAAAATTTGGGCTCTTTTTTTTCTTTTTACAGGCCATAATAGTAGCATTTATCTTCTAACACTCAAAAAAAAATCTAGTTAAGGAAAGCCCAGACACTTCTTGTATTTTCCTTCTAAATTATCTGGACACACATTATATACAACTATAAAAAAAAAAATTAAAAAAGCATACAAAAAAGACTATATAAACTTAACGTATTTTTTATCATTTTGTCAGATTCCAATCAATATTTTATCTACATTTGACCCAAAACTTATAAATTTACTCAGTATTACTGTTTCTCATATCTTCCACACCAATCAGATAATAAATAATATTTGTTTTGTTGTTTCCATGTCTTTTGCTGCTTCTCATTTTTATGAGTATTTTTATATTCTGTCTTTATCTATGAGATGAGGTATTATGTACATTATTACTGTACTATTGCCCTCATCTTTGTCACCATATTTATCACATTTCGGCCGTTGTACGTTCTGGCCTTCTTCAGGTGGTTGGAATGTCGAACTGAACCCTTTATTTCGCTCACTGGGGTAGACTGTTCTAGTTCCACATGATGGATGTCAGTTATCAGTTATCTCCTGTTAATTTCCCTCTGAAAGTTCTCCACTCCACTTAACCAGGTATTGAACTCCCACTCTTTGTCACTTGATCTAACCAACAACTTTATCCACTGTGCCATGTGTCCTTGAGGACATCTGGGTATGAATTTCTGGGTATTATAAACCTAATGTCTTCAGCAACCATTTTTACCAGTGCTCATATTGCAATTTTGCTGTTATCATTGCTTTTCTCTAGCACTCCTTATTACTGGTTCCCATATTGTATTTATTTCTATGCTTGGTCAGCTCAGGAGTTTTTTGTGGCCTAGCATATGTGCTGATTCCTAAATGGAATCAATTATCAAACTTATACTTTGAGAAAGTTTTGCATTGAATGCCAAAAATTTGTGCTGCAGTAATCAAGTCTAAAGGAGGATATTTTGCTGAGAGCAAAGTTTAATCATAAAATGCTTTTTCTTCTTTTGTTGTAATAAAATTTCTAATAAAAAATCCTGTCTCACTTTTTTTATAGCCATATATAATAATTTTCTCTTATTTAAAGTACAAAACAACTACTTTTTGGGCCAATTTTACAAATTACCAGGGGTGGCTTCAAACTTTTGAACTGTAGTATATCTTCCCTAGCCAATGACTATTTGGTCAAAATTTGTCTTTTTCTGTGCTTAAATACAGAAGAGAGAGTCTTTAAATACTGACCAATATTTCATAAATCAGAAAATCTTTGTTAGATTAAATAAATTCTCACAAAAACAATATACTTATATAGGTCACAAATTCTGTCTTAATTAAGAGAAACAAATACTTACAAAGCAAAGAGTACAAAATACAGTAAATCATAGCAATAGACTTCTTAATGACTAACTGACTATTGTACAAATTTAATAATTTAGATGGGATGTTGTTTTTTTTATTTACTGGAAACTTTGAAATAAAATGAACCAAATGAAGTATAGAATAAATAATATATTTTTATTTATTTTCTTTAGAGTAAGTCCTTTAGTATTTAGGTAGCAAAATGTTCATTTATAAGGTGGATATTTGTAGTAGCTTTGAAGAAGGTGCAGTAGTTTTGAATTCACAATGTATGAAGGGTAGTAGTAATATTAGAAATAGGTTAGTGTCAGCCTGTATTTTTTCTCAGCACTAAACAGAGCAGGAATATCATTAGTAGATGACTTTTTAACTACTTCTTCACATGTCACACATTGCTGGTTTCTTCATTGTAGTGTCTTTCATCATTCTTGCTATCCCTTCTGCTTGTAGCACATAGGTATCAGCTGATATCCTTTTGTCCAGGCTCTGGGACTTTGGTGCAGACATTGCTTTTGGCTAAGATCTCTCTAAGTCTCTTTGTATCAATTTTTTTTGATTAGCCAAAAATTATTTTATTTTATGACATTCCTTTCTTTTTCATTTTTTTTAAAATGGAAGATATGTGTGGAACCTCCCTGATTTTTGTTAGTTTTTAGTCATAAATTAGTTGGCTCTGTTCCAGCAAACTTCTGGTGTTATTCATCTGGGTTCAATCTTTTCTTTTTTTTCTTTTTTTTTATTTAAGGGTTGTATTCTCATTAGTTGAGAGAAGTATAGAAAGAAAGAAAGAAAGAAAGAAAGAAAGAAGTAGAGAGATTTTAAGAAAGAAAAAGAAAGAAATAAGAAGGGAGATATTAAGAAAGAAAGAAAGAAAGAAAGAAAGAAAGAAAGAAATAAGGGTTTTAAAGGAAAACACAATTGCTTTATTTTAATTTGAGTTCTTTTTTTTTTTCTTTATATATTTTCTTTTTATATTTTCTTTTTATTGGGACTCACTGCAAACTGATGTACCCTTAAATGACAAGTTCTTCAAATAGAATAAAAACAGGCATACTGCAAAATAATTATTCTTGCATCTGCAAATAAAAATTCAATTCTAATCCTTGTGTTTGATTGGATGTCACAAAAGCAGAAGATGAAATCTTTATCTTACTACGAATGGCTATGGATTTTTTGCATTCTGCTTGACTCAGTAGTAAACAAAAAGATATCTGGATGCACAAGATAAACAATTCTACCAATTTGTATATAATCCTTACTATCCAGAGGGTCTTTTAAGGAGACATGATTATAATCTTAAATAATCATAAACAGGTTCCATAACCAAAGTTCTTGATACTCCATCCAGACAAAGAAGATAACACTTGTAATTATTTGTATCTTTATCAAAATGTTTTCTCACTGATTTGACTTAGTTAAAAATCAACTCTGTAATATCCCCCTACACCAAACAGAGAAATAATGTCTGAGCAAAACATGGTAATTATGATATTTTTATCATGATTACAATAACCACTCTGTCTGATATCCTGGCAATTAAAATAACTTCAGAGACTGAAACTTGCAAATCTAATTACTAGTTTAAGATAATTATATTTGCTAGTCAAGGAGGATAAATTTATTTAGCCTAATTAGATACACCAATCAAGTAAGACAGATCCAGTGTTTTATGATTATCCTTATAAATCACTTATACCCAATCAGTTTTGATGCAAAGTAGAACCAATAAATTCCTGACAAGGCCCTTTATTCTACCTCATTCTTTGAGTTAAAGCAGCACCGATTCAACTGGACAACTTCTTTAGGCCAATATATTCATCCAAAAGTATTTTGCTGCTGCTATTATTGTATTTATTGAGATGAAACATGGAACAGATTGTGAAGAGTTTGAGAATGAATTTGGCGTTTCCTTATTGGCACTAAACGAACAGGCATTCAGTACTAAGGTTTATCTCTCTCTCTCTCTCTCTCTCTCTCTCTCTCTCTCTCTCTCTCTCTCATACACACACACAAACATGCACACACATGTACACACATCCTGATTGTAGATATATTCAAAATTTAGCCAAGTCCAGCACTTGGCCAAAAATAGAAATGTTTTTGGTGCCCGGCCAATGTTGAGACATCCAGTAGGTTATTCTACCTGCCCCATCATATCAGTTTAGTAATTTACCACTTCAAATGTCAGTGCAATGCTGTCTGTGTAGGTAAAATGTTGGAAGCATGTATCAACCAACATGTACTAGCCAAGAGCAAAGTGGACAATTTGCACAGTTATGTGAATACAACAGATTTGGCAGTAACTGAATACTTGATAAAGATCAGCAATGTGTCTGGTCTTATAGCCAAAACATGTTTACAGTACTGAGTAAGGCTAATGCTGAGTTTCATTTGAAAGTTTGGGAATCTGTTTACATTAAGTCCTGCCAGCCATCTCTCTATAATCTCATTATCAATCTTATTTCTGATTAGAGAATACTTTTAAACCTTTAGCCGTCTTCTTTCATTAATCATGTTATATTTTAATATTAACATTTTATGGTAATATTTTTTGTAATAAATTTTAATATGTTTTAATATGTCCAATTTTTTGCTTTAATAAATTTTGTATCCCCACAAAAGTATTTCAAAAATTAAATATATTGGAATATTGTTTGTTAATTGTCCAAATATGAATGCTAGCCTGTCATCCTTGAAAATCAGTGTTTGAAGTACTTTAACTATGTTTCAATATTGACTACTGTTTTTAACAACAGATAAACACTTCACTTAGACATGAAGGTCACCTATGTTTCCTGATTGAATTTTTTCTCAAATATATATTTATTTAAAATACCCAGTGCAAACTCAAATCAATATTCTTCAGTTATTAAAAAAAAGTAAAATATATAATTTCCAATGAAAGGAAAAATGATAATAAAGATAGAAATAATAATCAAAACATTATTTTTTTAATTATTATCAAAATAAAACTTTTGAAATGACATAATGAATATTTTCTCTGTTTAATAATCTTGACAAAATAAAATCATAAAGTTTGATTATTTCTATACAAAAAAAATACACTAAATTGGAATATTTACCCAGACAGAATTTTTTTTCTATTTTTGTTGCATTGATACAACAAAAAAAAAAACTTTTCCCATAGTTTCGTCTTGTGCCAGACTAACTTAAGTTTAATAAACGTCAATAATAGGAAATTCTGTTTGATTTTTATTTGACTACCATGGATCTTTATGTTTTGTTAGGTTAGTCTTCTTCTTCTATGCACCATCTTCTTCTTCTTCTATGCACCATCTTCTTCTTCTTCTATGCACCATCTTGCTTCAGGACATTGAAAATTATGGTTCTCCACAACGTCTTGTTCTTTGTAGTAATAATAAAATAAATTTTGTCATCCATTTATTCAAGCTTCTACTTCTACTTGTCCTTTCAATAGGTGTTCTGTCATCCATTTACTCAAGCTCACAAGGTAGGTTATGCATTGTTTTCCTTTGTCTCTCTTGCCACTATCTCATGTGGGTATCGAATTTTCCAAGTCTTCTTTCCTAATTATGTGCCCTAGAAATTTCAAGGATTCCTTCCTGATGTTAATTATAAGTGACCTTTTTGTTTTCATTTTCTCTAATTTTATTTTGATGGAATTTGCTATCATCATCATCATCATCATCATCATCATCATGTCACATCTGCAAACTGCTGTTAGTGGATATATCCCTTGTGACTAATCGTACCATATGGAAAACCTCTGATCTGTCTCTTGTGACTAATCATATGATGTTGAAAAACTCTGATCTATCTCTTGTGACTAAATGTATGATGTTGAAAACTTCTGATCTGTCCCTTGTGACTATTCTTATGATATTGAAAACCTTTGAGCTGTCCCTTGTGACCAATTGTATCATGTTGAAAAACTCTGATCTGTCTCTTGTGACCAATCATATAATTTTGAAAACTCTGATCTTTCTTTTGTGACCAATTGTATCATATATAATAACTCTGCTCTGTCTCTTGTGACTAATCGTATCATGTTCACAAACTATGATCTATCCCTTGTGACTAATCATATCATGTTGAAAAACTCTGATCTATCTCTCATGACCAATCATATAATTTTGAATAATTCGGATCTGTCCTTTATGATTAATCATATCATACTGTAACTTGTCTTTATCTTTATACTGTCTGAACATGTTGTACACTCACAATCGAGTTCTTTTTTTCCAATGATCTTTCTATTTAAGAGCAACTGCAAAATTTCTTCTCATTTCGCTACATGATTGAACCAGGTTGTTTTTGTCCTTGCTACTATTGTCAGATAGCGAGATAATTGCTGACGGTCAATTTCTTGCATCACTGAGTTGTTTGTCCTCTTATCAGTCCATGATATCCGCAAGATGCATTGATAGCACTACATCTCAAACGCCTTGATGATTTCATGCTAGACACTTTGAGCATCCAAGTGTACAAACCATAAAGAAATATAATGGCTAATCTCCCTCAAAAAGAGCCTAAATGGAAGAACATTTATCAAATCTGTCTCCTACTGCAAAAGAAGAATTCAAAAATCCAAAACAGAAATGAACAATGAATTTCTTCTTGAAAGTAAAGTTCTTTTCAATATAACAAAATCATGACCAAAAAATCCTGTGTTACATCTTTACAGATTTCTTTCTATATTTTTAAAAGATTTTAAATTTGAAAGTAAATCATTAATATACAAGGTGTCCATAAAGTTTGTGTGTACTTTAAAAAATTATAACTTTATTTGTATTTACAATAGAAATAATCTGTATATATATATATATATATATATATATATATATATTAACAATGACCTCATTTTGTTGTTATCTTGTCTCAATCATTTCACTACATTTATTACTCAGTTACTGATACTTTTGTTTCCACTAAACCTAAATCTGCACTACTCACCCCAAGGATCGAACTCACAATGACTATGCCATCAAATTCATGATGCAACACTTTAATCTAATTGGGTATTACCTGTAGGGCAATCTTCAATCTCACACTTCAACCTAATGTTTTTATTGCCTGTCTAAACTGGAAGACTTAAGTGTTTGCCTGCTGCAAGCAATAATCCCATTAGATTTAAGGCTCTCCATTCTAGACTGAGGATTGTCCCAATGGGACAGTATCCTTGGGGATTAATGTGTTGGTTTGTGAGCTTTTAATTTAATTGTGAGCATTTAATTTCTTTTTCATAATTGCAGAAGATATAAAAAATACGTTAATTTTAAGCAAGAAGTAATGATCAATGTTTTGATTAGTAATATTTAAGTAATTTTCTTTCACCTGAATCAAATGTCATTCTTGATTCTTGGGATGTTGTTTTTACCTGATAGGCTCTGCTTGTCCAAAGAATGTTAGATCAATGTTTTAATCCAAATTTCCTAAATGGAATTTGAATGTCTTTTATTAATTCCATTTCCTGAATTTCTATCTGAAATTTTTGCTTAACCATCAAGTCTAGTACTTGTAAAATCCAAATGAATTTGTGGTAAGCTACCTTTTTTTTCATATATATTTGTATTTTTCAGAATCAATCAACAGGTGTGGTTTGACATATTTTGTAATTGTCTTTGCCTTTTTTGAAAAAGATTTTGTAGATATATATATTTTTTTTTTATTTGAAACATCAAATCCAACCAACTCCTTATCTAAATAATCAAAGCTGCCTGACTGTTGTCCTTTTATTTTTAAATCTACCACTTGTCCTTTGAAAAGGTTTTCAAGAACATCATCAGTGTGTAGGCTGACAAAGTTTTGCCTTGATTCTAAATTGTGTCATTAACTTTGATATTATTTTGGAGGAGGAAAAAATCCCTGAAACTTTGTTGGAAAATTCTCAGAAGTGGAACATGATTCGGATTTAATGGGGAAAGACAGAAAAAGCAATTTCTTTGCAGCAATCCCCAACCCCTTTCCTCAGTTTTAAAAAATAAAATGCATTTAGTTCTGTAAATGACACAGGGACACACACATATATTTGGATATATATTTCCTCTGCTGTATCCCCCTCCTCCTTCTCCTCCTCCTCCTTCTCCTCCTCCTCCTTCTCCTCCTCCTCCTTCTCTTCCTCATCATCATCATCATCATCCCCATCACCATCATCACAACCAACACCACAATCATCATAATCATCATCATCATCATTTTAATTTTTCATATTTAATTCTTATTCACAAGATCCATTCCTTCATTTTGATTTCTGTAATCTTTTCTTTAACATTCCTTAATTTTTCAGGGTCTGTTCTCTTGGCTTCATCATCATCATCGTTGTTGCGGTTATCCTCCTCCTCCTCCTCCTCCTCTTTATTTACTTCTTCTTCTTCTTCTTCTTCTTCTTCTTCTTCTTCTTCTTCTTCTTCTTCTTTCTATGAGCCTCTTTCTATCATTTCACATTCTTTTTGGGGTCCATTCCCTTGTCTTCATCATCATCATCATCATCCTTGCCATTATCCTCCTCCTCCCTCTTCCTCTTCTTCTCTCTATGAGCCTCTTTCTATCCTTATTCTTTTCATGGTCCATTCTCTTGCCTTCATCATCATCATCATTATTATCATCGTCGTCATCATCACCATCATCATCATCATCATCATCGTTGCCATTATCCTCCTCCTCCCTCTTCCTCTTCTTCTCTCTATGAGCCTCTTTCTATCATTTCTTATTCTTTTCATGGTCCATTCTCTTGCCTTCATCATCATCATCATTATTATTATCGTCGTCATCATCACCATCATCATCATCATCATCATCGTTGCCATTATCCTCCTCCTCCCTCTTCCTCTTCTTCTCTCTATGAGCCTCTTTCTATCATCCCTCATTCTTTTCATGGTCCATTCTCTTGTCTTCATCATCATCATTGTCATCATTATTATCATCATCATCATCATCACCATCGTCGTCGTCGTCATCATCATCATCATCATCGTCGTCGTTGCCATTATCTTCCTCCTCCCTCTTCTTCTCTATGAGCCTCTTTCTATCATTTCTTATTCTTTTCATGGTCCATTCTCTTGTTTTTGTCATCATCAAAGTCATTGTCGTCATCGTCGTTGTCCATGATGTCACCATCATCATCATTGTCATCATTTATCTCCTTATTCTCTTCCCCCTTCTTCTATTTCATCTTTTTCTTCTTCAATCTATGGTTCTCTTTCTATCATTTTCTTTCTTTTCTCCTTTCTTTCCTAATCCATCTCTCCTTCTTTATTTCATAATCTTCTTTCCTCTCTTTTCTTTACCAGATGCTCATGAATCCTCTTTTTAAAGCCTGACATGGTGACATCTCATCACTCAAGCGGATCCCTTTATACATTCATAACTAGTTTTCTTGTTTTGTACTCTTGGCTTCTTAGCTTATCTCTTGTCGTATTCAACAAACATACGCATTACCTTCCAATTACTATTATTATTATTATTATTATTATTATTATTACTACTATTATTATTATTATTATTATTGCTGCTGCTGTTTTTTCCTTTTCATTGTTTTTATGTTCTTTTTTGCCCTTTACACTTTCTCTCCTTCACGCTTTCTCTCTCTCTCTCTTTTAACCCCCCACGTTTTCCCTGTATCTTTTTCTTTCTTTCTATCTCTCTCTTTCTATCTCTGTCTCTCTCTCTCATTGTCACTTTTCTGATAATTAATATTATTTAAATTTGATTTACATTATCTCAAATGTTTCGTTTATTTATTTCTTCACCTTTAAAGATTTTTCTAAATTTTAATTTACTTTTTTTTTCTTCTTCATTCAACAATTAAATTAGTTTTCAAATTGATTCTTTCATCAAATTTTCCATGGTGTTATCTTGGTTGGAACTACCCCATTGCCACTGCTACTATCATCAAGGTCATTATCTTCTGGATCATCATACCAGCAGATGTTATTTTGGACAGAATTTTTCTCAGCAATTGCTGTTTGAAACTGAATAAATCTTTTTTTTCCCCCTCATCTGGCACTGGTCCATTTGGTTATGCATTTATTAATGTTATTATGTTCACATTATTGGAAGATGTCCAAAAATAACTACCATACAAAAGCATTTTTATCATTTCAATCATTTTAAATGTCATGTAATTTCTGGTAATGGTCCTCCACAGTTTCCCTTTTTTAGTAAATTACTATGACTTCTTGCGGGAAATAATCAAGTGATTTCTCATTGTCTTTTCCTTACTTTGAATTCAGTGTTATTTTACTCTTAGACTAGCTGCAAGTAAGGCATCCAGTCTACCCTACTATTTTACCCATAGCTGTGGTAGGATGACAGTCCCTACTTGAAGGGTGTCATCATCATCTTAAAGCATTCCTATGTATCCATGCATATCTCTAAATGTGCAAAACTTCATCCCTCTATGCTCATCTGAAATAGGTCAGTCAAAATCTTTAATACCCTTTTTCACAGTAATGAACTCTCCCATCAGTTTTGATGTATGAGTATCCAGCAGTACATATGCTTGTAGGTAGATGTTTCTTTCAAATATGGCACTTCAGTTTGGCAAGAGACTATCACACAATACAACATAGGGTAAAAGATTGTTGTTTATGCACCAAGATTACAGGTCTTAATGCAGATTGTTTAGTGTTTGTTCTTACCTTTATTAGATGTCTTGAAGGCACTATGTTCAAATGCTTTGATGCCATTGGGACAACATATTCACCACTCTTTTTGCCCAGGACTATCTGCTCAAAGGTCTTAAGTGGTACCCCAGCAGCTTCCAAATTGCTTTTCAAATTGATTTTGTACATTAATCATAGTCTACCCACATTTCTTTTTCTGCTGTGTAGCTGGCTGTACAAGAGGACTTTTGTTATTTGATCGTCCCTGATTCTAATGACATGACCAAAAGCCATACAAGGTAAAGGGTTAATAAATGAGATTGTTGCAGGTATTTAAAAAGGGAAAGGTGAAGTAAGTGCAGATTGTTAGGATTGATGCAATAGGTAACAGTTGACCATACACTTGAAGAGATTGTAATGTTTGGGGAAATGTCCTCTTGGGAATCTGTTCCATAAAGTTGTGGGTTTTGGGAAGAAAAGAATTTTGAGAAGAATATCAATGAAATATGAAGTGAATGCGGATTGTCTATACCTGCGTATATGGCAAAGAAGATCAGCTTCATCACACCACCTCTTTCTTCCTATTTTCCATATTTAATTTAAGCTTAGTAAATATGTGCATGTGAGTATGATTGTGCATATGCATTTACATATGTGAGAGTGGATGTGCAAATGTATGTGCGTGTATATGAATTTATGTGTGTGTATGTGCATTTGTGTTTTACAGGTGCACAAGTGAGTGCATGAATGGGCGTGTGTGCATATGTGTATATATAAGTGTGGGTTTACATGTGAGTGCGTATGTGAATATACAAGTGTTTATGTACATCTGTGTGTATATTCAAATGTATGAGGATATGAATATGCAAATGTATGAGTGTGTGTGCCACTGTGTGCATATCTGAATGTAAGTATATGTATACATATTTGTAATAGTGCATATGTCTATCTGAGTGTATATTTGCGCCTATATGAATGTAAAGGGTGTTTCATTAAGATGGATCAAAGTCAGCAGTAAATAAATCAGTATTATTCGTGAAAAATTATTTATTTCTCTATTTGATCATGTACTTAAAGTCATGGCAATTATGTGTGAAAAATAATATTGCCCAAATGTCTGCCAAATCTGAAAGAAAAAGAAAAAATCATTAGCTGCCTAAACTTAATTCATATTTACATCAGCCCAAGTTATTGAAACACTCTTTATTTGCATGTATGAATATAATAAGTAATAATTTGTTCAATATAAGAAAAATTTAAACTTTTTCGTTTATTAAAACAAATTAAAAGAAAGAGTTTTTCACAGTTTTGCATTAACCTGACATTTTTACTCCTTTAAACAAAATTTGTTTTTTAAAGCAAAATTTGTTTTTTAAAGCAAAATTTGTTTCTTTTTGTAAGCAAAATTTGTTTCTTTTTTTCTTTCTAATTGTAAAAAAAAATTCTCAGCTGAATTCTTTTTGTTGGTCAACAGTTAAATTCCAAAAGTTTTGAAAGAAAATTTTAGGAGCAATAAAAAAATGATATACAAAATGATTTCTGATTATATTATGATTGGAATTGTGATATTTAAGTAAATCTTGTGGCTTGGAAATCAAAACTTCTTTCTTTTGAGTTCAGAAATGTAATCTATCTACCACAAGAAGAAGCCAATGTTTTTCTTATTCAAAGTTGCTTCAAGCAAACTTAATTTTCAATAAAAACTTTTTCACAATTTATATCAATAAAATTTCATAAATTCCAAAAGTTAAGACAAAGTAGAGAAAAGAAAAATCTATCAAAAACGCTTTCCCACAATAAATGCCCCAAATCAAAGTAAATTTCATTAAAATTGATTAATCTTTTCCGAAGAATTTCTTGTTTTTGAAGCGTCTGAAATGGGAAGTCTTATTAGTGCCAACAAAACAATAGGCAGTAATTTCACATCAATGAAACCAGTCACCCTCATTGAATGACTTTTGAAAATGAGAATAAAAAATTACAACTTGTTGACTTTTTTTGTTTTTAGGTAGAGGGGAGATTTCTTTAATTTATTGTTGATCAAAAATATAAAGATCCAAGCAAACCACAGACAATAGGAAGAAAAATGGAAGAAAAGAAAAGCAAAAACTGATAAAACTGGGTGTGAATGAAAAAAAATAAAATAAAATAAAACCGTACTTCTGAAATTTGTATAAAGTAAATTCTGCAAATCAATCCTGACTGTTAATCATCATATTGAAAAGTGAAGAATTGCTTTTCATTTTGCAAAAATAGCAAAAAAAAAAAAAAAAAAAAAAAGAGTAAAAATTTGGAAAATCATGAAAGAAGTGTTGATGATAAGGAAAAAATGTTTGGGCAAATTTCAATTGGTATGAAAAATGAAGAAATAAAATATCGAATGATTTTTTTAAAAACTTTTTAACCTGTTCAATATTCTGAATTGGGTGACACAATCTTCATAGGAAAATAGCGAAAAGACTTTTAAACTCTTACAATTCAGAAAATCATTTCTTTTCTTTAACCCTTGACCTAATATAGACTAGACTGTTTAATATGAATCTATGATATCAATTCCAAACAATTCTTGAAAAGTCAACTTTTAAAATGTGAAAATATCTTGCTTATGGTCTTAAATCATACATACAACCTGGATGTGTATCTAAGTCTTCACTTTGTAATGTCAAAATTAAATTTGTGTTGATCATTAGCCCAAATTCATAGATAAAAGGAATTTTTTTTTTTATTTCAGAGTTAGATGTTTGCCATGGAGCACCATAGACCAATCAGTTACAATTTATGAAGTTTGCATGTCACAGCTACTAATTAAAATATTCCAAAATTTACTGGGGTGTGGGGGTATATAAACACAGAATGTACAAAATGGTGCCAGGGGTCAGAGTATTCTGATGCCTTCATGACACTGATGACAGGAAGTGGGCAATTTTTCCTAAAGTAAACATGTGTCACCGTCAAGCCTTGTGAAGAGAGGGAGTTAAATATTGGAAAGAACCAATCTCAGGCTCTAATTTTAAAAACGTTTATTGTATTATGAGAAAACCTCTCACTGATAAAAGAGAAAATACAAAATATGATACACACTAACTTAAGAGGATTGAAGTTTAGCCAAAGAATTTACTAAAGTTTTAAATTTACTAATGTCTGAATGGTAAGTTTGATTAGTTTGATATGATCAAATCAGCAGCTAAAATATTACATACACACGGTTGTTAACTGGAGCAAAAAATAGCTTGTTAATTTTAATGCCTCCAAAAGAAAACTCCTCCAGTTTAATCAATAGAGAAAAATCTTTTGTTTTCCATCAGTAAGGCTGATACTAACCCCCAGAAAAGTTACTTATTCCCAGACTAATGTTTTCTACTGATATGAAATGGAAAGATTAAATTCAATTAGTTGCAAAGTCTGCTGCTATGAAAGTTGGTTTACTGTGTCATCTTATACAATTTATCTCACCATTATCTATCTTGCACTTTTATATGTTTAACATTCATCCATGCTTCAAATATTGCTGCCATATCTGGTCTGGTGCTTCTGCTATGTACTTAGAGATTCTTGATGAAATACATAGAAGTATTTGCAATGTTATTGGTCCTGACCTGGCATCTCGGTGTCAGTCCCTTTCCCACTAACATAACATAGCTTCTGTGTAGCTTTTCTATAAAGACTTTCATGATGATAGTTCTGATGAACTTTGCTCTATGGTACCTAG